AAGATATAAAAACTTTAACCCACTTGCGTTGTCATCAGATGCTACTTATTAAGGTAGGCTCAGAATAGGTAATCAAATAATAATAAAATTATATAAATGTGGGGAGAGAGACAAAATATAATAAGCTTAAAATAAGTAAATTATATGATATAAGCACCATCAAACAGGCTTTACCATACAGAAATGTTTTCGGTCATTCCAAAAGAGCCACACACTCATTTAAGATAAATTTCTGGTTTTAAAAATAATATTTTCATTCATTATGCAACTGCTCACAGATTTCTTACATTTTAGAACACTCTTCATCTGCCTCTCATTATATTCATATAATAAAAATCATTTTTAATGAACACTGAAACATTTTGCTAGCTCTGAATATATTGGGAGAGCAGTGGACTCTGCCAGTCCATACTCATTCTTTGCAAAAGATAAGAAACTTGGCCCAATGTTTTATTTTAATCCTCTCCCCATATCAGTAGACACAATTTTTGCCTACACAAGATATGGGTTTCCAAATATATTGTGCTAATTTTCTCCAAGCTGTTTTTATCCAATTTTATTTTTACTGTCTATAAATAAATGCACAAGTTTCTCCTACTTCTAAAGGCACTAATTCTTTACAGGGGTCCTCAAACTACGGCCCGTGGGCCACATGCAGCCCGCCAAAAACATTTATCCGGCCCCCCGGGTGTTTCTGCCGCCACTGTGTGCATAGGAATTTGTTCATAGTTTTTTTTTTAAACTATAGTCCGGTCCTCCAACGGTCTGAGGGACAGTGAACTGGCCCCCTGTTTAAAAAGTTTGAGGACCCCTGTTTTATTAGATATGACTAACCACACATCAGCTTTCATTAATTGTTATAAAGAAAAGAGTATTTTCCTAGATGGATGGAATTCCTTGAGAGCAAGGACCATGCTTTTTTCAATGTTTATAAATTATGCCCATCTTCTGAAATATAGTTACATCATCATAACTAATACCGGTCGCAACTACAACCTTCTGAATATGCTGCACTTTTTTAAAAAAATTATTTTATTTTTTTTATTTTTCAATTACAGTTGACATACATTATACTAGTTTCAGGTGTATACCCCAGTGATTAGACATTATATAACTTACTAAGTGATCATCCCAATAAATCCCATATCCATCTGACACCATACATTGTTATTAGAATAGTAATGGCCCTGTGCACGAATCCCTGAGCGAGTAGCTCACTGACACTTGCCTCAGCTGGCTGCCCCACTCACCGCAACTCACTAGTAGCTCTCTGCCACAGGTAGCTCACTGCCCTGCCCTCCTGTAGCTCTCCTTGCTTGTAGCTAGCTGCCCCGCCCTCCTGCTGATCAGTCATTATGCATCACGGCATAACAACCATTTGCATATTACCTCTTTATTATATATTCCCTATGCTATACTTTATATCCCCATGACTACTCTGTAACTACCAATTTGTACTTCTTAATCCCTTCACCTTCTTCACCTATTCCCCCAACCACTCTTTCATCTGGCAACTGTCAAAATGTTCTCTGTGTCTGAGTCTGTTTCTGTTCTGCTTGTTTATTTATTTTGTTTTTTATATTCAATTAGTGATAGATATGTATTTATCAAAGCTATCATTTAGAATCAAAGGGCAAAAAAAAAAGCTAAAGGAATTCAGAACCACCAAACCAGTATTACATGGAATTTTTTGTTTGTTTTTTGTTTTTAATATATTTTTATTGACTTCAGAGAGGAAGGAAGAGGAAGAGAGAGATAGAAACATCAATGATGAGAAAAAATCATTGACTGGCTGCATCCTGCATGCCCCCTACTGGGGACCGAGTCCACAACCTGGACATGTGCCCTTGACTGGAATCAAATCCGGGAACCTTGAGTCCACAGGCTGATGCTCTAGACCAGTAATGGCAAACTTTTTGAGCTCCGCATGTCAGCATTTTGAAAAACCCTAATTTAACTCTGGTGCCCTGTCACATATAGAAATTTTTTGATATTTGCAACCATAGTAAAACAAAGACATATTCTTGATATTTATTTTATATATTTAAATGCCATTTAACAAAGAAAAATCAACCAAAAAAATGAGTTCGCGTGTCACCTCTGACAGGCGTGTCATAGGCTCGCCATCACTGCTCTATACACTGAGCCAAACCGGCTAGGGCATGGAATGTTAAAAGGATATTCTTTAAGAAGAAGAATAAAAAACAAGATAAAAATGTTATAATAAAATGGAAATAAATTCATATATATCAACAATTATATTTGAATTCTCATCTTACTTGGCCTCGTTAGAACAGATCCTTGTTCATAAAATTCTATTTATTTCCACTCCCTACTGATTTCCCACTTTATTAAATGGCAGCATTTTCAACTCTTCTGCTTATACAGGGAAATTAAACAGAAATATCCCCACTCTAAGATCTTTCAGTGGTTTTCAACCTGTTTTTTAGAGGAAACATTATTTGTAAATATATTGAATTTACAAATTTACTCTTTAAATTATCAATGGCTGTGGCAGTTCCATTTTCCTTGTTGAATTTCAAAATTTTACCCAAGGATGTAAGAGTGTAAGCAATGGTAAAACTCTTAGTGGTATAGTCATTATTATAATGTCCTTAAGTGCTACATGATATTTTCACCGTATGTCATTCTGAATTCATGTCTATGATTGATCATATACTGCACAACCTTATTAAAGTTGTATTTGATCTACTGGTTTGTGTTCATATTTGGCTTGTCAAATATTTGTCAATCACTCTGTGATATCAATAACAATAAATAATAGCTTTCTTTGGGTATGAACTAAAAAGTGCTACCACAGATATAAATACAGGTACAAAAACCATATGTTTTAACTAACCTAAACAGTGATATGCATATGAAATTAACATATTTCATCAAGGTTTTTAAAATGTCACAGGAACCCTACACAAGATCAATCGGAAAATATATGATTAAGACTGACTGGCTGGCAAAACACACACACACACACACACAACCACAGGGTAGCAGCTCCCAGGTGAATTCGCCATAATTTAAATTCAGGCCATGCAGTCTGCAGGCTAAGAAACCTGATTTGTCATGACTCCAGAAAGGAGCTATCTTTGCTGAAGGGCAGACATTAACTTCTCTCACAGGGACTAAAATACAAAGGCTAGAATATGAATATGTTAATTTACACTGAGAATTAGAAATTCCAAAGGAGGGAGTGGGTGTTTGAGTTCTCTAACCATTAGTTAAATAAATAGATGGAAGATGAAAATTTAATAGGCAGACTGATTAGTGAGCCAACATCCCCAATAGAAGGATTAGTTTTCATATTAATGTTTCATACCACCAGCTAAGGAGAGTTAGCTACATTTGTCTGGGCAATAGTGTTACACCTACCAGAACAAGTAAAATATTTGGACCAAGACATATCTTCCCTGGATAATAATTAGTTGAGAGCTTCTTAGTCCCACTCCCATGTTTTCTGTATTTCTAGTTCCACCACCTCTTTCTTTCATTAGAAAGACCTGAGAGATGTGGAAACTTTTTATAATAATTTTTGCTTTATCTGATTGAATAATTTATATATTGGTCGAATTATTTAGTTCTAAGGTCATAATTTGATTTACTTTAAGATCCTTGATATTGCATCATTTTTCAAACTGTTTCTGCATAAATGCAAACCCATGATTCTATCCACTTCCAACTTCTATGAATCCCAAATAAGTATAAGTTCAGAATATAACTTCAGAACCAAATCCCTTTCTGAGTTTCATCATAAGTTTTCCAATATAAGCATCCTGTCTATATAAAGTTTAGACAATTTATTCAAAGTTACCCAGAATTGAACTGCTGTTTTTCAAAAAATATCATTTCTTCTTTCTTCTTTTCATAAATATTATCACGCATTCCTTCCCTCAGTTAAAGGAAAGGTATGTTAAAATTTTAATCAACTACTATGCTTGTGGGCAGTGTATTGTTTCTCCTATAGCGTTTCTCATGAATGCCATCTACTCTATGATGCACCTATGGAAACTCTGAGACGTCAAGGAGCTTGCCCAAGGGAACTCACTCCTCTAAATTGTAAAGTAACACTTTAAGTCCATTCTTTCTCACTCCAAAGATCTTTATTCTTTTTAATGTCACCATTCTTTCTGACATCATCCCTACCTAACACATCACCGAAACTGGATCTTTTTAAATAATTCCCCACCGCCCATCTTCTCTCACCACTCTTATCTTTTAAATCTTGAGTTCTATTTCTATTTTTCCTTAACTATTTATTTGTCTATCCCCTTTACCATTACCTTATTATATTTTTCATCTACTTAGATTCTAATATTATTATCCAATCTTGTCATTTTCTGCATCCTGCAGGTAAACTGGCCTCCCCTCCATGATAATGTCATAGTTAGCCATCTCAAATTAAATCTGGCCTTGTCATATTCTTGCTTAAGTTCTCAAAGAGTTTGGTGATGCCCTGTGGGTTAGGTATTTAAGATGGCTGTTATTTTCCTTAGCTCTCTCCTACCTGTGTCAATGTTACCATTCTCTTTTTACCCAAGCCTTCTGCTTTCTGCTCCTCAGTTCTCTCTAGAAACTCCAAACTGTGTACATTGACTTCTGCTTTACCACAACCTTTTCCACTTTTGCAAAAATCAATGTAAATAATCAAAAATACATTTAATGAATGTCTGAAATTTGTCGAGCACTATGCTAAGAGTTTTACATGGGTTAATTTTTTTCACAAATAACCCTAAGAGGTTTTGTGATTATTATTCTCCTCTTACAGATTAAGAAATTATGACTCAGAGATAATCACTTGCCTGAAGTCTTATAGCTGGTTATTTATATAACATAGAGTTTTACCTAGGCAGGAGAGTTTACACTTTCAATCACTACAGAAAATAAAATGTACTCATCACTTTAATATAGAGAATTAAATATTGGATTTTTAACACTGCAATTAAAAATTCAGATAAAACGCGACCTCATCTTTGTCAGTGCACAAAATGGCGCCTTAGAGCCTCCTGGTGACCCGGCTGCAGAGAGCCCTGGGTGTGCGGCAGTACCATGTGGCCTCAGTCCTGTGCCAATGGGCCAAAGTGGCCATGAGCCACTTCGAGCCCAATGATTACATCCGCTATGACCTGCTAGAGAAGAACATCGACATTGTTCGTAAACGACTGAACTGGCCTCTGACCCTCTCTGAGAAGCTTCTGTATGGACACCTGGATGACCCAGCCAACCAGGAGATCGAGCGGGGCAAGACGTACCTGCGGCTGCGGCCGGACCGCGTGGCCATGCAGGACGCCATGGCCCAGATGGCCATGCTGCAGTTCATCAGCAGTGGGCTGCCCAAGGTGGCGGTGCCGTCCACCATCCACTGCGACCATCTGATCGAGGCCCAGGTCGGGGGTGAGAAAGACCTTCGTCGGGCCAAGGACATAAACCAGGAAGTGTATAATTTCCTGGCAACTGCAGGTGCCAAGTATGGCGTGGGCTTCTGGCGGCCTGGCTCTGGAATCATTCACCAGATCATTCTGGAAAACTATGCATATCCTGGGGCTCTTCTGATTGGCACTGATTCCCATACCCCCAATGGCGGTGGCCTGGGGGCCATCTGCATTGGAGTCCGGGGTGCTGATGCAGTGGACGATATGGCTGGGATTCCCTGGGAGCTGAAGTGCCCCAAGGTGATTGGTGTGAAGCTGACGGGCTCACTCTCCGGTTGGACCTCACCCAAAGATGTGATCTTAAAGATGGCAGGAATCCTCACAGTGAAAGGTGGCACGGGCGCTATCGTGGAGTACCACGGACCTGGCGTGGAGTCCATCTCCTGCACTGGCATGGCGACCATCTGCAACATGGGCGCAGAAGTCGGGGCCACAACGTCGGTGTTTCCTTACAACCGCAGAATGAAGACTTACCTGAACAAGACGGGCCGGGCAGAAATTGCCAAGCTAGCTGAGGAGTTCAAGGATCACCTGGTACCTGACCCTGGCTGCCAATATGACCAAGTGATTGAAATTAACCTTAATGAGCTGAAGCCACTCATCAATGGGCCCTTCACCCCTGACCTGGCTCACTCTGTGGCAGAAGTGGGCGCTGTGGCCGAGAAGGAAGGCTGGCCTGTGGACATCAGAGTAGGTCTGATCGGCAGCTGCACCAACTCCAGCTACGAGGACATGGGACAGTCAGCAGCTGTGGCCAAGCAGGTGCTGGCTCACGGACTCAAGTGCAAGTCCCAGTTCACCATCACACCGGGCTCTGAGCAGATCCGCGCCACCATTGAGCGGGACGGCTATGCACAGGTCCTGAGGGATGTGGCCAACGCCTGTGGCCCCTGCATCAGCCAGTGGGACAGAAAGGACATCAAGAAGGGGGAGAAGAACACCATCATCACCTCCTACAACAGGAACTTCACAGGCCGCAATGACGCGAACCCTGAGACCCACGCCTTCGTCACATCCCCAGAGATTGTTACAGCCCTGGCCATTGCTGGCACCCTCAAGTTCAGCCCAGAGACTGACTTCCTGACGGGCAAGGATGGCAAGAAGTTCAAGCTGGAGGCCCTGAATGCAGACGAGCTTCCCCACACGAATTTCGACCCTGGGCAGGACACCTACCAGCACCCTCCCAAGGACGGCAGTGGGCAGCGGGTGGACGTGAGCCCCACCAGCCAGCGTCTGCAGCTCCTGGAGCCTTTTGAAAAATGGGATGGCAAAGACCTGGAGGACCTTCAAATCCTGATCAAGGTCAAAGGGAAGTGTACCACTGACCACATCTCCGCTGCGGGCCCCTGGCTCAAGTTCCGTGGGCACCTGGACAACATCTCCAACAACTTGCTCATTGGTGCCATCAACACTGAAAATGGCAAGGCCAACTCTGTGCGCAATGCTGTCACCCAGGAGTTTGGTCCTGTCCCTGACACTGCCCGCTACTATAAGAAACATGGCATCCAGTGGGTGGTGATTGGAGACAAGAACTATGGCGAGGGCTCAAGCCGGGAGCATGCGGCGCTGGAGCCTCGCCACCTCGGGGGTCGGGCCATCATCACCAAGAGCTTCGCCAGGATCCACGAATTAAAAATTAAAAAAAAAAAAAATTCAGATAAAATGAAAGAATGTTCAAAATGAGAAAGCATAATCATGTGAATTATGTATAAAAATAGTGTGAATAAGCAAACTAAGCAAGTCAATTCAACATGGGATTTACGAAATGTACTAAATGTATACTGTATGTCTGCATTAACATATCTATATTATAAAGAAAATAATGCTTAATATGATTAATAATGGCTTCATTATGCTAAAGAAGTTACTGGGATCATAAAAGACATATCTCTATTTCTTATAGCTTTAAAGTTCAGTTCAACTTTCCCTCAGACATGCTATTTAAAAAAACACACATGAAAATACATGGTTAAAATAGATAACCTTTTAGAAATTATCAGGGCATGGCAAATAAATTTTAAAGAAATCTTTCGATGTTTCCTAGTGAAATCACATGCTCATATTTATGACTGAATAAAACCTTAAATATTTTTAAATATAATGGTATATATTTGAATATATTACAGAGCACTTGCCAATTAGAGCTGTCCCACTAACTCAAGACCTTGGAGAAATTTAGCTTCTGAGATTCAGAAGCCATTTGCCATTCACCAAGTCACATGGATTATTTGTTATATTCATTTGTAGTTTGAGTGTGCATTAGAGACAAAACCCTATTCATCATGATCGTTTTAAGATTTCACTTTATTTATTAAAATTATCCTTACTGTGGAAAATATTATAGCTGTCCCTCATTTTCCCCCATTGACTCCCTCCACTCCACTCACCCCCCCTACCCCAGGCCTTCCCCAAACTATTGTCTTCCCATGGGCTACCTATATATGCATATAAATTCTTTAGTTAATCTTTCACCCCACCCCTCTCCCTCTGAAATACATCAGTCTGTTGCATGCTTCAATGTCTCTGGATCTATTTTGTTCGTCAGCTATTTTTAAATACCCACATCCAGCCTTGGTTTTTCTTGTTGCAGAGAAGATGGAAATAGCAATGAAAAAGCAGAAAAATTAGATACTTCAGACACTTGGCAGCTGCATTCACTTGCTATTTCAGGTGTTCTCAGGCATCCCGGGAGGTCGACGCAGGCCACCCAGGGGCCATCTAAACAATGTTGTTTTTGTCCCTGAGACCTTGGACCTGATCTGACTGTATCCTTTCCACTTGTTTCTTCATATACCACTAGTGGCCTGGTGCATGAAATTCATGCACGGGTAGGGTCCCTAGGCCTGGCCGGTGGTCAGGGCCAATCGGTGCCTTCCGGCTACTGGCCAGGGCCTTCCTTCATTCCGTGCCATCCTCTGATGGTCAGCACACGTCATAGCAAGTGGTCGAACTCCCATTCAGTAGAACTCCCAAGGGGACAATTTGCATATTAGCCTTTTATTATATAGGATTAGGTTACTATACTGTTTCTTCCTGTCTTTGAGTCCTCTTCTTTTTGTCTTGCCCTGTCTTCTGACTGACTCCTTGCCTTGCTATTTGATTTTTGAATAAGATTTCAGATTGAACACCTGATCCTGGCCTATTGTCTGACCTGTCTCCATTACCTATTTGATCTGTTTATTTTTTCTTTGTTCTTACTGCCACCCAATTGCATAATGTTTTTCCTCCTCCGCATACACAAAGAGTGGATTTGGAAATGTGAACTTGAAATTCCACTACCCCCAGTCTGACAAAACAATACGAAATTTGAACATAAAATGAGTACCAGATTAAACTATAAAATCAACATGTAGATACAATCAGAGATAGAGAGTGGACTTAATGATACAGAATAGCTCCCATTCATATCATTAGTAATGGGACATAGAAAAAACACAGGTTTAATTAGAAACATTGCATCAGTGCACTCTCCCCAGAGTTCAATGCTTATAGCTCCATGTCTACAAAGCTGATCAAAATCTATAATGATATTCTTAGCCTTCAATGTTGTCATGATGCCATGGACAATTTCTAACATAGGTAACATATTTGGTTATAGTTATAGACTGGTACAAGGGCAGTCACAATTGTAATCTACTAAAATGCTTCTACAGGCAGACTGCCCTCTGTGCTGGGTTTTCTGGACTAGTCAGTAAAGATGTGCTAGTGAAATCTCCATATCTACTTTAGAAACGGGTTTACTTAACTTTGCTTTATAAAAAAATCCTGATGGTTGTAAAGCAGTTGTATTTATTATTTGTCTGTCTGTTTGTTTGTAAAATTAATATTCCCATTGCTGCCAAAAGTTGGAAGTCAGGATTGGTGGGGATTGGGGAATTAGCCGTGTGCCCTGGCTTATGTTTTCCTAGGAACAACACCCCCCTGCTTAGGCCTGAAAAGTGCTCACTCATATGTATTGTCGTCTTTCCCGACTCAGTCCCTGCTCATTCGCAAGGCTCTTTCCTATTACAGCCTTCCCTCTTTATTCCGTTCTCCACCCCCACATCTCCCACCTAAACTTTTCCTAGGTTCTGCTAACCGCCCCTGTTGAAATTAAATTGCATCTCAGTTTCCTTCAGGCCCTTTCTATTTCTTACAAATGCTTTAGCCCCTTGAATCAGCTTCTACCTTCAAGCTTCGATGCTTTGAAGGCTGGTGGCTGCATCCAGTGGGTTGGCTCTCCTGGAGGGAGGAAGATGAGCTTTGTCCGCCATAGGAGTGAGGAACAAGGCAAGGTATGGTGGGAAGGCCAGGGTCTTTTCTTTGGCATGGGTTAGGTTTATCTTATAGTAACTATAATTTAAAAACAGAACTCATTTCCTGAAGATTAATTCTCTAACACCTTTCTTATTGATCTAGGTGAGAAATTCCTGCTTTTAACATAATGCTGATCCCACTGCTGAAAAAATAGTAACCCGACTTCATTTCATAAAAAGAGCATTTCCTCCTTGTCTGAATTACATTACATCACCTCCTCCATGGTCACAAATGGTGCTGTGCCCAAACAGTGTTTCTCCAATAACGAAGCTTATCTTTAACCAGTCTACGACAGAAGGAGAAAAGGTAGGATTTGAACTGCAACCATGTGACATGCGGCCTCTCCACGTGGTTTGGGCCTCCCACAGCATAGCCAACAGGTCCTGAGAGGAAACCTTCCAAGCGGGAATGTTCAGACAACGAATGCTGTGTGAAAGCCAGACAGAAGTGGTATGGCCTTTGCTGATCTGTCTTCAAAAGCTACACAGCATCACTTCCATCTTTGAGTCCCTAAGGCCAGCCCAGATGCCTGTGATGAGAATTAAGCTCCACATGTTGATGGGAACACAGCAAGGTCACCTTGCAGAAGAGAAGAGTATGCAGAGTGCGAGACATAGTAGTTATTTTTGGAAAATATAATCAGGGACACAAGTCATCCCTGCTGGGATGTGTCCAAATTCCTGACCCTCAGAATCCATGGTTATTGGTTTAGAGCACTAAGTTTTGGTGTAATTGGCCATGTAGCCATAGAGAACCAGAAATAGTAACCCAGCTGAGGTGCTCACAGCTTGGATTCAATGAAATGAAATCCAGGATGCTCTAATTTCATAAAATAAAATAAAGACTTTATTTAAATGCAATGGAGGCCACTATCACAGGGAAAGAAAACAGATGGTTTCAAATGATCCTGGTATTCAGCCTCAACATATACCCACTGAGTTCTGTGCTGTGCTATTCTCTGTGACTGCTACCTGTCTCAGTACCTGCTCAAGGGAAATGGAGCAAGAAAGACCTCTGGGCACAGTGATCCTGATCTTTGCCCTTGATTTCTCTTTGATTTATTTTTCATGGAAGATAGTCTGTAAAATTATCATGATAGCTGCAGAAAGCATTATAACATTTATTCCTACTTGCTTGTTTCCTTACATTTTATCAGCATAGAAAAAGCAAAAATTTTAAAAGCATGTGTTGAAAAGTACATGCTAACTGGAATTTCTTCACAGTATGGCCCAGCACCCCTTGCTACACAAATAACTGAACTTTTTACTCTAAAATTCACAAAGAAGGCAACTAATTATAACTTAATGTCACATGTAGCCATTTTATAGCAAGAGAAGATATATGTATATAGGTACATATATATATACACATATATGGGAAAGTAATTTTATATATATGCTTTATTAATAAATATAGATAATGCACATATATACACCAATGCATTCATATATTTACATACATATATTAACATATGCCTATACACATACATATAATTTCACTTTGAATTTTTACTTTGTTAAATTAGGTAATTAATTGGATTTCTGATTTGTCTCTATGAAATTGCAAACTCTGTTATTTAGAGTCTATCTGAGAAATTGGTCTACTTTGTGTACTTATGAATCAAGATTCTAGTCATAAAATTCTCAGAGGAATACTGTGAGACACTAAATAAGGTAGATTTCAGCTCAAAGGGGTCTAGATGGTCAACTTCAAATTCGTACTATAATTTTCTACTACCTCAGTGCACCCCTTTCTACTCTGAATGTATATTCCCCAAATAGTTGCAGAAAACATGGAAGATGGAAAGTGGTACATTTCAGCTTGGCAATGTGCACTGTTTTTATCTTCTAGTAAAACAATACTATAGATCAATGTAAAAAACAAGGAATCCTGACTAATTTTTTACCATCACTCAAAACATCTATGTCTCCTATTTATTATGTCACCTATTTAAGATTATGAATGTGTGTATGTGGATTGAGTATATGCATACAAAATTGGGGGTAATGGTTTTTCGTACAGCAAACTGACATCGGTTTCAGACAAAAACATGCTTATTTGAAGTTAAATGTTTTTTTATTTAAATTCTATATTGTGTTAAAGTATTACATAAGTCTCCTTTTTCCCCCCATTGACCTCTCCCAGCCGCCCCCACCCCTAGCACATGCCCTCACACCCCGCCCCCCCCCATCTGTGTCCATTGGTTATGCACACATATGCTTGCATGCATACAAGTCCTTTGGTTTATCTCTTATCCCCTCCCCCAACCTTTCTCTCATTGGTTGGTGAAGTTAAGTTTTTATATAATAGTTTGAAAAAATAAACCCATAGTCATATGTACTGTATATAAAACTACCTACAAAAATTACTGTCAAAAACAGCTTTTG